CTATAGCATATATATATATATGTTGATGGAAATATTCTCCACAAATTCAGCTTAAGTGGTTTACCATGATATTCTTGTGGTATTAAACTATTTTTACTTTTTAAAAATAAAACTAATTTTACAGAATATGTTGTTTCTTGTCAGCCATCTTAGTTGAGTCAATTTAAAAGGTTAGGCTGTGCTTGTAGATAACATGCCACTATTCAGCAGGAATATTAAAATACTTGTGCGTATTATGGCGTGGAGCAGGACTGATGTTTTGTATGAACACTTCAATGTTGGGCAGATACGTTTTTTTTTTTAATTTTGGGAACTCATATAGCATGTAAATAATTGTATTTTAATGTGTTCAATAAATATAGTTTTTGTAGATGATATATTTACTGATATGTTCTTGTATCTGCTTTTTATTAATATGCTGTAGTTGGGTGTACAGTTCAAAAGTTTGAGGCCACCCCTGGTAATTTTTTAAATTGGCTCCAAAAGTAGTTGTTTTGTACTTTAACTAAGAAATTATTATTAGAAATTTTATTGACAAAAAGAAAAAAGCATTTTATGATTAAATTTCACTCTTGTCAAAATAGTCTCCTTTAGCTTTGATTACTGCAGCACAAATTTTTGGTATTCATTGCAAAAGTTTCTCAAAATATAAGAATGATAATTGATTCCATTCTTTATTTAATAACTCTTCACTTCCTGTTGAATTTTTCGTTTTATTTGCTGCAAATGTTAATTTTGCCAAGAAGCTACCAAATTTACTGCTATTTCATAATCATTTCTGATTTGGTTGAAAATTTTTCAATTTGATGATTTATTGGATAAGGGGATATATTATGTATATAATGGGTCTGTGTGAGAAAGAATGCTGAAAAATTCTTGGCTTAACCAAGAAGCAAATCCCCCCCCCCCCAATAAAATTGTTTGGTCATCTGTCTATGCCAGGTGGGGTCAGGTTGCAGAAAATTTCTTTTGGTTCAACACACTTTCCAAAATATTTCCCTATCATTTCTTGGTTTGATTAAGAATTTTTATGACACTTCGCACCTTGTTTGTTGAAAGAAAGTTTAAAAACAAATGTCTTATGGGAATTTTGAAGATTTTCACATCATGATTATTAATTTATTTCTGCAGCAAAATTAATTTAAGATGCACTCATTGAAAAAAAGTGCACTATTTTTAGACTTGGGTCCCCATGCATAAGTGGAACTCTCACACTAAAATGGGCTTGTGCTGCATTTGGAGCAAGTGGGTGTTCTTTTAAATATCTTAAGCTTTGTTACTTTATAGAGGATTCTTCCTGACAAAAATACCACTCATATCATACAGAATTTGATCCAATATTTTGATATAGTAACTTGTGTCAAAACAAATGTTGTACAGCAGCTCTATTGTTGTGTATGTGTTTTTATTTTTAAAGATATGTGCATTAATTCTATAAGGGGGTGTTAAAGTTCTTTGACAAACCTTAAAGAGATTAAAAAATAAATTCTGATATTTGGCTATTTGGTCAGATTTTGAAAAGTGGTTTGGACAAAGAACTTTTCATCACCCTTTTGTATAAATTCTACTGACCTGGCACATTTGATAGAGATTGTTTCTTTTATAAATTGGTTAATGTATTGATCTATTAACATCTAATTTTGAAGTCAGATTGTTGCATTTCTGTACTTAAAAATTTAATGCCATTGGATATTCACAGATATCTCAGGCCATATCTCAATGAAGAAGAAAGCATTTATTTTAATCAACCAATTTCCAACTTTGTTAGTGCACTTAATTCAGTAGTAAATACTAATCATATTGCTTGAAGATTGTACAATTGTACAAATTTCAGATAAAAATTCCACTAATAAATGTTGGTCGGTCAATGTATTGATGCAGCCTTGTAAATACCTTTTATAGCAATGACATAAATACATATAGGCTTTTAAAATATTATTGTCTGAAAATATTTTTTTTTGTAAAACAGAAATTTTTATATCAGAACTTGAATTAAAAAAAATAAATGAAAATATAAGCTTTAAAATTGAATCTCCTCCTAAAGAAATGAGTTTGTGAATTTATCAACATTAACTAAATTATCTTTTCCTTCTAAATAGGATTTTCAAATATTAATTTTTTTGATCTACTAAAGCTGTAGAAACATAAGTGTTTTATCCACATTTGGATTTATTTGATTTTTTTGTAAAATATTCAAATTGTTTTTCTTTCTCTCCCTATCAACACAAAAAGAATTCACCACTTCTCAAAAATTTTAAAAATATTAATCTCAATTTATCTTGTCTTTAAAAACAAATTATTGAGGAAATTTTGAGAATTAAAAAAACAAAAAACAAATGAATAAATAATATTATAAAAATTCCAGCCTTTTCAATAAATATTTTCATGATAGTTTTAATGAGCAATCCTCTTTGGTACCTGGACTTCATAAATTTAAGCATAATACAAGATAACCAAAAAAGTCCTTGCTGATTTTTATTTATTAAGAAAAAAAAAAGAAGGTACACAGCAAATTTGACATACCATTAATCCTCAAGATAATCCCCATTGGAATCTAGAACCTTTTGCTAATGTGCCTTCAGCTACATATTGCCCTAGCAGTAAAAATCAGGTGTCTTGGATGCTTAGAAATCTATAAGTGCCTGCCACAAGTCTGACTCATTTGTGAAGAATTTCCTACAAAGGTGATTGTCCATGAAATGGAAGAAGTGGTAATCTGTTGGTGCAAGGTCTGTGGGGAGTAAGGTGGATGGTACAGTGTTTCCCAGCTAAGTCACCATATGGTATCCCTGGCCACCTGAGGCCTGATATTGTCATGGAGGAACAGTACATCCTTGTGATTAACTAATGCTGGCTCCTCCTGCTTCAGTGCCTGCAAGTACAGGTCTGCAGCTCATAGTGCACAACTTGTCAACTAGTCCACTAGATACAGAGCATGATCTTGTGTAGAGGAGGTGGTCCTGTGGTGTGAGGCACAGGATCCTGTGGTAATAACCAATGACTGGCATTGCGAGTGTCATACAGGACCCACTTTTTGTTATTGATGAACATTCAATCAAATATGAATACATTGTAGTGTTGAGAAAGCAAGGAGAAACAGGCTGTCACTAGTTGTTGCTTCTTAGCTTCTGACAGTGTGTGGGGTACCCGCTTTCTCAACTTGTACACTTTCCTTATGCAGTTTGGGTGAAATCCTATTGTTTCATCAGAAACCTAGAAGCGTTCAGCAAGCTCACCACAGGTTTGGCTGTTGCCCTTCTTTATGGTGACCTTCAAGACCTTTTGGCTGTCTACTTCTGGGTTCATCACAAAAGGATAGATCTCCTGAACTTCTGGAACCAATGCCTGGCGATGCATCCACTCACAGCATTATCCCCAAAGGCTTGATCTATTTGGCAACTTGATGTGGCTGTGAACAAGCCCACCATTGAACAAGTTGCTTTGACACTGCCATGTTTCCTCACCACCGGTTGAGCTCTGACTGATATATATGTGTGTGTGTGTGTGTGTGTGTGTGCAACATACCTGAATTGATCATGAGCAATGCCCTCACTGCTACTACTTTCTTGGCACATGAAGCACTCATTTGCATATTAGTGATTACTTCTTCCCACATCGTATAAAAATGGCAAAGACTTTTTTGTTTAGCACATACTAAATTGGCATCTAGGTCTCAAAATTTTTACTGTTCTTCAAAAATTTAAATGCAACATCAGTTATCATCATCATTTGTCTCCTTTGAATCCTTTTCTTTTATTGCCCTTTCTCCTCAGTAACATTTTCTTAGTTTCTTTCATTCTTTTGCATCTTAGTGGCTTTATTACCTTGTTTGAGGTGAAATGATTAGAAAAAAAGTAAATTATATTATTTTCCTCTGAAATTTGATTTGCATTCTAAATTTCAATTTTTTAAAAGATGAAGGAAAGAATATTTTATGCAATATAAATCTAATATAAAGATTCATATTTTCTCATCAATTTTATAAAATGTTTAAGAACCTTTGTTAATACATACTCCTCATAAACTGTTGAAAAATGTATTTCCTTTTCGGTGAAATAAGAGAAAATTACACCACAATTCAATGTATGCTTGTAATACTTTGTATCACATAGAATTGTTATAATAATTCTTAGGCTGATATATTATCCTTTGAATGCTGTTTACAATGGCTACACAGCAAGTATATTAAAAAAAAGCAGTACATCTTTTATTGCAGGCCTTTATCATAAAACATTTAGAGTATTTCTATCAGGTTTGCAATCCTATGAAAAAGTTGATTTTGTCCTGGATAGTAACAAACTATATAAAATTCATCTGATCTTTTCCCATATATTAATCTTCCTGTGACTAGAATTAGAAAAGAAGTGATTGCAGGTCTTTAAATATAGAATAAAAACATTATGTTTGTGCATTATTCTTTAAATATAGTAAAATGAACAAAGTCAGTTATTCAGCTTTTTTGTTTTTTAAATACTGCACATTTTCTAACAGGAGAACTATTTTTTTCATTAACTTGTTGATTATGATTTCATCCAAATTCATTTTGAATAGGAAAACATTGTAGACATCATATAAATAATATAACAAGATAATTCTTGTGAAATATTACATCATTTGTCCTCTAATTCAACTAACAATTTTATAGAAAACGTTGAGACTTTTTAATACAAAACATTTTTTTTACAAGGTATGTACTGGTTATTTATCACTTCACCACTGAAAAATTCAAAAGTATCCAAAACCCACATTATTGATTTTATTTTCTGTTCTTTTATGCAAAGAGAACTTTTGGGGTGTGTATGTTGGGGACCCAAGGTGCACACTTGACTAGGGTTGCTCTCGTTGTTTGGAATTCATTACTCATAACTTTTAAGTGTGAGAGATAAGACTGGTGTGAGAATTGAGAAAAACTTATCTCCTTCTGATGAAGGAGATGTCTGTGTATATGTGTGTGTGTCTGTGTGTAAACATTTAAATATGTTTTGCCTGCCTGCTTTCAGGTTCTACCCTAGATGGAAAGAATACGAGTCCATGCAAGCCCAGTCCTTACACTTCACTCTGGATGAAAGTCAGTGGCAACACGACTGGGCTGTGCTCCTCAGCCTTGCTAGCCAACCTGGTAAGATTAACATTTTCAATGATAACTGATATATGATATTACGACCATCTTTATCCTTATTTTACCAGCTTGCAATCTCTCTCTCTCTCTCTCTCTCTCTCTATCTCACTCTATTAGATGAGGAGGTGCTGAAATGTTCTTGGCTTGACCCTCTTCCCAAAATCATCAGATTAAAAAAAACAAAAAACAATTTATAACTCTTTCCCTTAAAAGTTTCCTTGAAACCACTTTTAGTTACTCACTTTCTCCATTGTTAAAACACATTGGGAGATTCATGTTTTCAATGGTCCCAAGGTTTTTAACTCGAAGGGAAATATTATCCTACATCAAAAAGCATTTTTCCCACTCATTGTCATTTTGTAAAATTTTAAATTTTAGGGTCAAACTAAACCCATCAGAACAACATTTTTTATGTCTGCTGTAAAATTGTAGAAACTAAGCATGGAAGCTGAGTGAAAACTGTACTTTCTACAATATTTATCGCCAATTATACAAAGATTGGTAACTATTTTGTGTAAGATTCTACAATAGTGAAGTCAAATTGACATAAACCTTCTTAAAAAATGAATCTCTCTAGCTGTACAAATACTTCAACTAATTCATTTGAGACGCTGCAGTAATATTTTTTTCTTTTTTGTCATAGCGGTAAAATCAAAAGTTGTAAACTATGGGGCTTTTTTTAATTTTTTTTTTTTTTTAAATTTTAACAAACTTTTACTGTCAATTAGTGTTCTACTTTGTCTTTATCATCTAAATTTAGCATTGTGTCTATGATGGCATACAGGTTCATGTTAATTTTACAGTCACTATGCAAAGGTTGCAATCAGCAATTTACATCACTGACAAGGTTAATCATTTGCCAATGGGATTAGGATTGAATCTGTTCAGTCTTAACCTGGTAGGTTATTAAACCCACCAAGTTAGGATTTTAAAGAAAAAAAAACTTGTAAATAAGATAAACTTTGATAATGTTCATTTGTTTGGTGATAATCTTGATATAAATTTTATCCATTGATTATTTGTTTAAAAGAATTGCACTCTCCATATATTTTTATATTTCTGATGAAGAATTTATCTGAATTCTTTAACCATAACTTTAGTACAAGTTTTTGCATTCTTTACTCTTCATTTGTGGCCAATATCTAAAGAGAACAACAGTAGTTTGAATAAATCAAAATATTTTGACAATTTTTCATTTAAAAAAAAAAATCAAACAATGTTTTTACTGGATGAAACCATCAGATATTCAAATGCAATTTTTAAGTTTTTAAATTTTTTTTTTTAATTTTTAACAGTCAAATTTTACTGTTGACTTGGCTCATTAGTATTAGGTTAGCAAGGGAAAGAAACTTCATGTGTTCCATATGAACTCTGTGAAAGTCAGAGAGGTTGATGTTTTAAAGTGTGTTCAATGTTGCATTTGCAAAATTTTGAAGGATCCATTTTTTGACTGAATAGTGACTTGTGATAAGAAATGGATCCTTTACAACAATTGTAAAAGATCGGCTCAATGGTTTGATCATGATGAAGGTTTCCAAAACTGAAAGATTATGGTGACTCTGGAGATCCATCTTTATTCTTATTCACTAAATTCTGGAATTTAACCAGAACATCCCTGTCAAAGTTTACTGCCAGCAACTGCACATTCAGTTAGTCAAAATATGACTGGCACTGGTTAATTGAGGAGATCCAATTCTGTTTCTTAATAATATATGGGCTCCATGTTGCCATGATGATACTGTAGAAGTTAACCGATTTTGGATATGAGACTTTGCCATATTCACCATATTCCCCTTATTTCATGGAAACTATTGAAAAAGCTGACAAATTGGCCAAGAAATGTATTAGCATGCAAATAGCAAAAATAAAGATTCCCTACACAGATTTTAAAAGAAAAATGGTACAATTTATAAGGTGAGACTGGCAAAAAGAATGGGATCCTAATCAACATAATAAACTATATGAACACTAACCAAAAGTGAATTTAAAAATAAGTCAATAACTAGCTGAAGAGAAGAAGCAGTGCTGACCCAATTCCCAAATTAGACATACAATATTAACCCACATCCACCTTCTCAGAAAAAAAATACTCAAATACAACTATTGCAACACACAGACTAATGGTAAAATATATATTAATAGAATGCAAAAAGTATAGTAAAATGTGCAATAAATAATACCAAGTTCCAAACCTTAAAACACATTTCCGAAACACAAAGCCTGCCAAAATTATAGATTTTTTTTTAAAGAAATCAAACCTCTACAAACTAATATGAAATAAATAAAAATTGAACAAATGAAACTGGATTGTAACAAGGAAGTTATCAGAAAAAAATTGAATATTAACTAGGATCTATGCTTAAAAAGGAATGAAAAAACAGTTTGGGCATTAAATAACTTAATATGCCGTTAAAATACACACACTCATTGACTGGCTAATTTCCAAACTAATGTTGATGATGTTCTTCATTCAATGCATAAAGAGGAGGAGGAAGAGGTGGGGGACCTATTAAAACTATTTTTGTTTCTTTTCTAACAGGCAATTGTCTTTCATTAAGAGTAGTATTTGTTGACAGGTTTTGGTTTTGAAAACTTTAAAATTGTTTTAAGCCTGCCTCTGCAATGATATATTCAAAACATGTTTCTGCATTTTATCTATTCTGAAAAGACAGTTTCTGATTTATACAAGTTAATGATGTCAATATTAAAAAAAAACAAAAAAAGTACTTGTTTCTTTATAGACAACCAGCAGCATGGCCCGGCATTGCCCATGCCTGATTCAAAAATCGTACGACTCATACAGCAATCGCTATCACTCGACTTAAAATATTTTTGCCCTTCCTTGCCTTTAAAGGAGTGCCCTTTGTCGTGCTGATGTTGCTAGATGCCTTACTTCTTGCCTATCTCACACTGCAAATTTTTTCTAAGCTCTATACTAAACATTAAATCTGTTACAAAAAAAGAACTAAACAAAATGAACACAAAACAATCAGCTTTAAAAAAAGGACTCGTAACTGGAAAAACTGAATGAAAAAAGAATGTTAACAACAAATACTTTTTCATACCCAACCCAGTTCTGTGGAATCAGAATCAATGTTGAGTTTAAGCAAGTGAATGAGCCAATTGGAGTAAAGTGCCATGCAGATTTAAATTTTTCCCACTTGTGATGAATGCAGCTATCAATTTTTTTTGGATGCTAGCATGCTAGTTAACATTTGTGTCAGTCAGCTGTTGGCTCTCACACTGGCCAATAGAATCTTCCTGCCTATTCGTGGCAGCCAGCTATTGGCTCTCACTCTGGCCAGTAGAAAATGGCTGCAAACTACATGAAAACTGCTGTAGAAGCATGAAAAAATTGATTATTTCCACTATCGATGGGAGTTGGGAAATGCAAAGTCAGTCTTGGACTTCCTGCTAACTTGGAGCATGTGCATCTAAATTTTGGTGCAAACCTGTCGAAAATTGCGGCCGTGCATTCATTACACACACACACACACAGACACACACACACACACACACCCTGCCTTTTATAGATAGAGATGGCTGTTTTAATCTACCTGAAAATAACTGAAACAAACCACATATTTAACAGCTTTGATGATTATAGATCGGTGAATATTTTTCATTGGATTAACAGGAATTGACTTTCTCTTTCACCCAAATATTGTTTGAAAGATTATAAATTATATAAAAATGGGTGGGAAACAAGAACCTTCATAGTGTTATAAAATAAAATGACATATCTCGGCTGATTTACAGGCAAATACTCAAGAGCGAGAACCGGATGTGAACGGGACAAAGCCCCGTCACAAAATGACCATTAACTTTCTTTACAAATGTTTCCAACACACGTGTTCCGGTTGAAAAATAAAATAATAATTAAAGTGCTCTATTTTTCGTCCAATAAAAATGCTTCCCTCCTAATTATACTCGCTTCGTTTCTTGAGCCTGTTAAACCATTAAAAAACGCTATAAAAGGGGTCACAGGGAAGTTCAGCAGCAGTCAACAGGTGGCCACAAAGGAGACTGGTCACGTTTAGCAGCTGTCAGCAGGAGAGCGTCAACCACAGTCAACATGTGTGAACTACTATGAGAGATCGACCTAGATCCGAAAGCGGGCTTATGGACTTTACCACACCAAGGTAGCTGTCCTAAACCCTTACGTTCCTGTTGAAATAAACCACGTAAATCTATTTCTACTGTTGTCATATTTCTTTCTTGCAACCATACGCTTGTCTATAACAATAGGAACAGGTAATTACTTTTCACCTTTTTGCAGTAATCTGTCTTGACCTATTTCAATTCCATGTCTGCTTCCAAGTCATTAGGCACATATTGTTAGCTGGAGAATGCCTTTAAAGGGATTTGCTTTGGATATTGCATTGTGTTCATTTTAATTATTTGATGTCTTGTGGTAATCAGTATTTCAGCTGTTTTATATTTTAGAGTGGGGATTAATTTAGATTTTAGCCTTCTCTCTCTCTCTCTCTCTCTCTACAATAAATTGGAGATTGTAAAAGTTGAATTCCAGATATTTAGAAACCTAAATTAACATTTTTCTGTAGATGTTGTTGGTTTAACATGTTCAAATGTTTTTCCACAAAATTTCATTAATGTTTCATTTAATTTGATGCAATATTCATTGTAAAATCTTTGTTTACACTATTTACATTGTTTGGACTGTTGTCCTCATCTTTGTTGCCATATTCATGACATTTTGGCCATAGTATGCTCTGGCCTTCTTCAGGTGATTGGAATTTTGAACTAAACCCTTTTTTTCATCTACCAGGGTAGATTGTTCTAGTTTCACATGCCATGCCTCTTCTGGATGTCTCAGTTATCTCCCTTTAATTCAATGCTCCAAGTTTTTTTTCCACATATTGAATTCACAACTATTTTGGATCAAGTCACTGGATTCAACCAATGCTTTTATCCACTGGGCCATGTGTCCTTGAGGACATCAGTATGAATTTTTGGGACTTATAAACCATTTTTGCCAGATCTCGTATTGCAATTTTTGTTGTTATTGCTTTTCCCTAGTACTCTCTATTATTGGTTCCATATTTTGTATTCATTTCTATGCTTGGCTGGCTTAGGAGATTTTTGTGGCCTAGCATATGTGCTGATTCCTTAAGTTTTTGTATTTTCCAGTGATGTTCTCTCTTATTTCAACCTCATCCCGCAGTAGGCAGTGATCTCCCTCCATATGTGGTCAGCTATGCCTAATTTTTCTATTTCCCCTTTGTATTATGGCTTTACTATATTTCTTTCACTCTTACCTTGAGAGAGCAGGCCTATTTCTCCTTTATATTTCTTACCAGAATTGCATAGGGTTTTAATTATTTCTAACAATTTTCTTCACTTTATGGAATCTACATCATTTTGTAAGTTAAGTGCAATCATGAAATTGGTTTTTGAAATTATTAATTAGTTCAGTCTATATCTGCACACACACACTGCTTGAAATACATTGTAAATAATTCAGTCTATTGACAGAGGCCCTCCTCTGATTTAAGGTTTGCTAAAAGATGTTAATTAACCAATGAACTATTCTATAAAAATAGTGTAGAATTGTTTTAATTTTTAGGTATATGTATTCTGAAGTGCTCAACCAATCTGTAAAAATCTAAAATATGAAGAAATTAGCAATGTTTTTTTATTTCTATTTTAGCTACCATAATATATTTTTTTTGTTTTTTTTACCTCCAGGTGCATCTTTAGAACAAATGCATATATTTGCACTTGCCCATATACTTCGCCGACCTATTATTGTGTATGGGGTTAAGTATGTGAAAAGTTTCCGTGGAGAGACTATAGGTTATGCTAGGTTTCAAGGTAAGTGGTTGATTTAACAAAGTTTTGTGGTCAGTGTCATCATATATAATATAAATTAGTGTAGCTGTTCTGTCAAAAATGACAGCAATTGTTAGAAACTTTTAATAGATGCAATGAAACAATGTATTGAGATTCAATAAAATGGAGACAAAGAATTCACAATTAAAATAGAGGCCAATGAACTGTTTAATTATTCTGTTTCTTTTATACTTTTTACATGTTCAATGGTATCTATGATTTATTGATTACTCCTGGTATCGTATAAATTGCATTTTGCTCAATATCTTTTCATGTTATTTCATGTGTTTAATATAACAGTGAAATGGAAATATCTCTTGGAGAAAAAAGATTAGCAACAGAATGAGAAAGATCGCAACAACAAAGCTTTTTTCAAGATTAAGTCGAAGGAAGACAATCACTTAATAGGCAAAAGTATCTTGCATGAAAGGCTTGAACAAATGAGACTGCAATCTAAGAAAGGTAGGAGTATATGAACAGATTAATTAAACAGTTCATTTTGCCCAGGAACTAATTTTGTCTAAATGCAGATAAATATTTTATTTGTATAGATTTAAGGGAAGTAATCACTCATAAATTTACTAACTTAAGTTGATTTACCTCCCTTCTCACTACAGGTGGGACATGAAATATATAAATAAATACATGCTGATATTTATTATATGGTTTGATTAGATTAGGGACTGCCACAAAAACTCGAAACCCAAGGTTTAGAATAAATTTTTAAAATTGAAAAGTCCTTCTTGACGCTTTTATTTTAGTTTTAATTTCAAGCTAATAGATTAAATTTAATATTTCCAATAAGCAAAATACTTTGCTGTATTTCAAAATCTAATTTAAAATGTGCCCTTTTTTAGTTGCCTTCCAAAAATAATATATACTTTTCTGAAACTTCATTTGATAAATATTAGCTGATTTAAAGTATAATTAATCTGATTTGAAAAAAAGTATTATTTACTTTGTTTAAAATAACACAAATGGATTTTTCAAACAGTAGACATGTTTACATAATTGATGAGTGTTGACAGGTGATGACAACTTCATTGTTGTTCTACAGAGACTTTATCTGTTAAAACATAATTTAAGGAAATGATGGTAGCCCCTTTTTTTTATATAATGTTTAAGTACTCAGTAATATTAAAAATGGAAAATATTCTCTGTAATCTAATTTAAGGAATGTTGACTTTAAATTTACTAGTCACTGTTCTTTTTTCTAATAATATTGTGTATAGTCAACTATACTTTCAAAATGGGCATATTACATAATATTTTATACACATAAAAAAATATTTTTTAAAATCTTGCTGCAAATTGATTTGTATTAAGCTTTTCAATTTTTGATAGGTAAGTATAGTTTTCACTTACTAACAATATTACTTAAGTCACTTAAAGTAATGCAGAATTTTAAGATTTAAATATAAATTATTATAATAAAAATGAAAAAAAATGAAAACAATTCATCGAAAAAAATTTTTTCTTAAGTCAATAGTGTCTTTAATAAATCTTATTTATAAAAGCCATTAAAAGCTTTTCTAAGTAAATAAAGTCATAGTTTTATTGTATTTTTTATTTTAAAAGTTGGAGTAGATATTTGGGAAATGAATAGCAGTTTAGGAAAAAAATTGATGATTTACATTCTCCAAGAAGTCCTGCTTTTAACTAATAAAACAAATTTTGCGATTAAAATTTAATTTCTCAAAATTTCATGAAATTAAGTAAGTGGGAAGTAACATATGTAAGATTTTCTTTAAAAAAAAATCCAAAATAATTTCATTCATTTGTGAATAAGTCCTGTAAGTTTCATTAAAATCTGAGAATTATTTGATTTTTGCAAGAATTTTCAAAACAATGTGTTTTTCACTGGGGGAAAAAAGACACTAAAACACTAATAGTAAATATTACAACAACAATTGATGCAAAAAAAAAAAATAAATAAAACAAGATTTTTAACTAAAATTTTGAATGTGCTAGAAAGGATTAAAAAAATGTAATAATATAATAAAAAAATACTTTGGTCTTTTCTCTTAATAATGATACAAACATTTTGATGATAAACTTTATTTTTATTAAGCTTAGGGCCTTTTTTATCATGCTATGCTTTTTTTTTTTTGTGGGTGGGTGATACCTAGATTAGATTCATTCCATTCTTTCAATTCAATTGGTTGGTCAACACTAACTGCTTCATGAAGGGGCAGAAAAACTTACTTTCTTTAGGGATCTTCTGATATTTATGCCAGAGGCTTTATTAGTTGTTGCTTGGTTTATAGTATAATTATAAATCAATTAAATGGGAAAAGAAAAACAAATAAAGAAATGACCCAGTTGTTGATATTATTTTTGGATTTTTCTTTTCCATTTTGATGTTCTTATGTCATTTAAATATTCTGACATGATTATTACTACTCAATGTTTATCCAATCTGTCCTATCAGCATAAGTTATTAAATACAATAAAACTTATATTCATTCATTTTATATATAGGAAGTAAATAGATGCTAACAATTACAGGATACATTTTTAACTTTTGACCAGATCAGTCAATCAGTTAAGTGCCACAACGCTTGGATGATCATATTTGTTTCTGTGGTAGACTGGTTTCCAACCACTGCTATAGGACCCTCTCTGTCCTGCTATTCAACCCATAGCTGGTGTGAGAAGAGATGGATTCATACTTTTCCCAAGAGTATTTGTGTGTAAATGAATGTAATGAACCCAACTGGAATTCAAACTCTGCTCTCCAATTTCTCACTCTGAGCCAATATCCCTTACACATCCAGATAAGTGCATATATAAAATATAAATTTTGGAGAGAGACAGTTGAAACCCTCCATTTAAAAAAAAAAAAAAAGAGACTTTGTTTCAGCCCACGTCTTGATACTAATAAGGTATCCATAGAGCTAAGCATAAAATCATTAAAATTAGCACTCAAAAATGAAATTTTCTAATTTTAGATACTTTTGGCATCAAAATTCTTTGAAGAGGTTTCAGGAAATTTGTGTTGCTCAGTAAAAATGGGCTGTTCTATGTCTATTGAAGGACCCCATAAACTTCTTGTTTATAAAAATAAAATTTCATAATCTTCTCTTGTTTGGTGTGCAAACATTTTTTTCAGCTATAAGATTAGATGTAATGAATGTAGTTTCAAGTGGTTTTTGTTAAATAACAAAATGGATGCCCTTTCCAACACTTTTGCCCCTTGCTGCCAACTATTGGGCCGTGGTTACTGGAATGTGGCCCTCCTGGTGATTAGTGACAGTTATACGATGCACCATTACATTCTTAGGGTTGCAGTAATCATGTGAAGAAAACATTGCTATTTTTAATTCCTTACAGCAATATTCATGATTCTTGTAAGAAAAAGAAAAGTTAACCTAAAATTACCTTATTAAATAGGCAAGTAATGTCCACAGCAGGGGATTTGTCTTTTATTAGATTTACAAGATAGAAATATTTAAAAAAAAAAAAAATCTATGGCTGCAGTTGCATATCTCGTTGCTAATCTCTGTTCTTTGAAACTAAAGGGAGATAACTGAATAGATTTGAATGAAGTTCTTGATAGAGAATGCAAAGAAATTTCTTACACATTTCTTTACCTGTATGCATCCATGATAATTGTGAATTTCTGTTTCGTTTGCAGGTGTATATTTACCTCTGTTATGGGAGAGAAGCTTTTGCTGGAAGACCCCAATCACTTTAGGTTACACACGAGGACATTTCTCTGCTTTGGTGCCCATGGAACCAGACACAGACGTTATGATTGGGGCCGGGGCCAACATAGATTCCAATGAGGATGACCAAATAATTTATCTCCCTTTAATTGACAGCGAGGGGAAACTGCTTCCGGTTCATTTCCTGAGTCGTTCTGAAGTGAGTAAATGAACATTGCTTTTCAAATGTTAAACATAAATTGTTATTTAGATGACATATAGTTTCATCTATATTATATGAAAATATTACTAGAATCTTTTTTTTCTTTTTCTGCCATTTTCTTCTGATATTTTTTGTTGCTTTAAAGTAATTTTCAAATTTTAATAATCAGCCTGACAAAATTCAGTCGTCCAGGTTTTTTTATATTAAAAATCCAAATTCCAAATAATAATAAAATAAAAATAAAGAAAACATGAGTATGCTTGTTAAATAAATCATTTGTATTTACAAAAATATGTACATGAATTCAAGAGTTAAAAAGAAGTAAAAATAGCCTTTAGTTGAGTTAAACTCTTTGGGTAGTTGATACACAGAAAAAAAAGCTGTATTTTAAAAAAGACTTTCAAATAGTTGGTCCATAGAAAAAAAAAAACTTTTATTTTTTTTTTCACTGAGTGTCTTTGTTGTTGGAGATGATTTCTTTAAAATCATCAAAATATGTTTCTTTCAGCATGCACTGGGAGGAAGATAAGAAGCTATGTAGCCATGGTGTGGTGACAGTTGTAACTCTGTTCCTTGAAAGTTAAAATCTGTGGGTTTTTATAAGAAATTTTTCCCAAGAGTAGGCTTGAGAAAAATAGGAGTTTAGTTTTCTCTGCTTAGTCAAATATTTCACATAGCGATATTAATTTCTAACCAACAGACACTTTGATTTAAGTTGCGTGTGTTGTGGAATCATTCTGTTATGTTTGTAATATTGTCTGCTATTGGGTAGAAAATAGTTTGGGAATATGGTATGTATGTGGGTATGTAATTGTGTTGGAAATAGATTTTATTTCCTGTAAAGTTACTATGATATATCACTTTTCATTCTTGGCTTATTTTTCTAATTAAACAAGATTACAGAAACATTATTTGTACAATTTTTTATGCATGTATCTAGAATTTGGCTTTGTCCACTACAAGATCAAATAATGGTGAATGAAGATTGTGCCAATTTTTCCAAATGGACTTGAAAGTATTTTTATAAATATAATCACCATTTTTGTATTGTATGCTACCTTCCTGAGACTTCTTTAATTCATTTTCTTTTATTCTCATTTGCATGATTTTTTTTTTCTTTCTTTTTTTATAGATTGGACGTGAAGAGAGCATCATTCGAGAGTGGTTGGATTGCTGTGTGACCAAAGGTGGAGTTTTAGTGGCTCTGCAGAAGCTGGGCAAACGGCCTTTATTAGTGAAGCAAATGGTGGACGAGTGGCTTGACCATTATCGCCAATTGTCACAACACATGGTTGCCACCAGTCACCAGGCCAGCATCTCCTCATCCGCTCCGACTTTCTCCAGTGATGGTGAGAGCGATGAGGAGTAACCACCGATAAATAACAGATCTGTGTCAGTGCTTGATGACTGTACATAGAGTCGGCAAGGCGACAACCCTTCTACAAAATCTACTAACCATACCACTACAACTATTTCTTTGACTACTGTGACAGTCGCTACTTATTTATATTTGTTGTATCATAGAACCAGTTATTTTTCTGAACCCTTCTTTATAAAAGCTTACAAATAGACAACACACATACACACACAGTTTTTGTCTTACTGTTAAAGAGTAGATTCTTTTGTAATTGTCAACTTGGCGGTTATTTAAGAATTTTTTTTTCCCCACTTCCAACCACTTCTCAAAGTTGATGATTTCGTATTGAGTGGGGGGGGGGTAAAAAGTAAGTAATCTGCACATAGAAATTATTAGTATCTCCAGACATGCCACAGGAAAAAATGTCTTTGTTAGTCAGAACAACAAAAGAAAATAAACTCCCAAATAACTGTCGCACCCTCCTTAATTTATATTTTGTATAAAGACTTAGTATATACTGAGATAGAAGAAGAAAAAAAAAAAAAAGTTATTTTGAATTGTTGCTTACTTTTTGATGGCGGGGGACAAATAATGGAAGTTTTCATGTTTTTTTTTTTTTAATTTTTAAAAGTATAAAATAATGTTTTTATTTAAATCTTTAAGTAGTCTCTTCATCCTCAAGATTTAAGAAAGATAACTTGTTCTTATGATTTTTGTACATTTTCTCAATGTCCATGTGTGTATATATAGTCCTAGAAAGAGAGAAAGCAAGATAAAAAGAGTGAATACAAGATCCCATGTTGTGCAAGGTGGTTAAATTGCATCTTGCCATATTTTTTTTTTTTTCTATTTTTTCATAGACCTATCCCAGTTTTAGGCAGCTTTTAGCTCTCTGCCTTTCCTGTATAATTATCATTAATATTATTATTATTCTCTACTACTATTACTACTACTACTACTAGTAAATAGCTTTTCTTGGTGAAATCTTTAAAAGAATACTGTCCCATCAACAATTTTCCTGTTCTTTATTCAAACAGCAAAGTGGTTGCAAATTGAAAATTAATTGTGCAAATAAGTCAGCTTCACCTCCTTCAGGAACAAGCAAAATTCATTTGGTTTATCATTTGGGAGGATGAGCTTATTTCCCTTGCTTGTGACCTGTTATCTTAATATTTATTTATTTATTTATTTTTGTACTGCTTTCACCATATTTCATTTGTTGTAGTCTTTGCCCTCCTCAATCTGTCCAGGTTTGTCATATTTCTCTACCAGAGAATCAAATGGCAAAGTCTGACGGTGCAGTCAATGAGTAATTGAAAACTTCTGTTTGACAAATTGATTGAGATTTGGTCAGAGAAAACACCAATCAAAATCTGAAAGCATAAATATAAAAGTGGAAAACAATGGTTTTTAGGATAAACTTAAATGCTTGTAAATTTTAGTACAAACTTTTGTTTCTCAACTCATTGTCTAAAAGGCCCACTTTGTGTGGCAGATGCTCTTTTTCTGATGCCTAAAACGCAATGTAGCTGGCTTGATATAGCTGAATGCACTTTCTGATGAATGGTGGAACGATGACAATGAATGATGACAGAGTTGATGTGATGGTGATTCGACAAGACATTTATAAAACTCAGGGCACTTATCCATAAAAAATTAAAAAAAAATTAAATTTGACACAAAACAAACAATAAAAAACAAACTTATATCAGTGATCCATCCTTTAAATGTTTAAAGCCAGATTTAATTCAAAATGGAGACATTAACAGCCACAGTTATTATTTTCTTTCTTTTTGTTTATATTTTCCTCTGTTGGCTAATGTCTGCCAGTCCATTAATTTGAAAGTGTGCTTGAGAGACAATAGGGGAGAGTTGTGTATGTGTCTTATAGTCGGTGTAAGTTTGTGTTTCTTATAGGTTTGGCTGGATAAATAAAACCCACCCACCTGATTGTTTTGTCTCCTTATATGACAACAATGAAATGTCAAGAGATGATAACTCTTTCCATACTTGTGTGGTGTGATGCTTTGGAATATTTTAAAATTTCATGATTGGCTTGAAATTACGAAAAAAAAAAAAAAAAGAAGCCAAATGAAAACTAAAATGTTTTTATAAAAAATGTTTAATAACAATAACCATCTATGGATTGAACTCTGCTTTATTATAACTCTAATTTCTATTTTCCTCTCATCTTCCGTGTTTCTTTTCTCTTCACAGTTGAGCCTTTTACGAAGAGGAAATACAACTCCTTTACTATTTGTTTGTTTACAGTTTTCTGTTATTAATTACTAAGATAAAACTGTTATCAAAAATGTTTTAAGTAACAAATTTTGAACTATTTGGGATTGTCAGGTTGGGGGGGGTGGGAATCACAATTTTGTTGAATGACTAATTTGTCAGTAACCTGTAAAAGAAAACACAACCCCCATCTCTAAAATTTGCTTGTTTTTTTTTTGTCTTTGTCTTCCCATTTGTTGCTTTTATATTCTTCTCATCTAATATTAAAGCAGACATAATTTTTTATACTGCTTTCCATCCTATAAATACAGCAGTTTTTTTTTTTGTTTTTTAATTTTATAGCAACATGTTTTTTAAGGGGTGGGGTCAGGTTGATTCCCAGGCTATTGGCTTCATTCATTGTCTACTGAGACATAATCTAGAATAGCTATTTTATTTTCTGATTTCAATGTTTTCTGAAACTGCCGAGGTTGTAGTGTCCAAACAAGATGACATTGAAATATTGATAATAATGCCTGTTTTTGCAGACAAAAATTTCTTTAGTTTGATCTGCCTTCTGTTAATCTGTCTTTGTTCAATCCTTCCAAGCCACAAAACCCCACTGATTAATTTTTGTTTTCAATTTGAAAAAGGAAGCAAATTAATGTTGTCATGTGGAGACTTGAATTGAAAATGAGCATTAAAAAAATTATCTTTTGTGAAATGATCTTCTTTGGTTAATACAAAACAAGCCTGGGAACAACGTCTTCTCTACACTCATCTAATTGTTACTTTACTCCCCAACAGTTTCACATTCATACAGCCAATTGGTTGGAGATCTTTTTGTGTTCTCATTCTGCCAGATAATTTTCAGAACAGAGACACTGACAAAAATGAACTTGAAAATGAAGTCAAAACAAAACGCTTAAATTTTTTTTTTTTTTTTTTAAATAAAAAAAAAAAAAAATTATTGCAGATAGGACAAAAAAACAGAAAAAAAAACATCAACAATCAGGCCTGAATTTTTAAATAAAATCTTCCCCCCCAAGTGGTAAAAAGAAGGGGGTGTAAAAAAAAAAAAATAATATCAGGCCCATTATTCCCCACTCCCTTTTATTTTAACTTGCATAACTGACTGGGCTCCTCTTCCATATTTTCCCACCCACAATCTGAATCAGCTATCTTTGTCTTATTTTCTTTCTTTCTGTCTGTATGTCTCTCTCTCTCTCTCTCTCTCTCTCTTGTGTGTGTGTGTGTGTGTGTGTTGGCCCTTTGTCTCCCTCTTCTCATCATCTCTGTTGGTGTGATCCTCTTTGAGTTGCATCCAGTATCACTTGCCTGTTAAAGTTGATGGTTGACTATTCTTTCACAAAGAAAAAGAAGAAAGCCATTACAAAAAAAAAAAAAATGTAAAAATGACTAAGAAAAAAGAAAAAAAGATCAATGACTTGAATTGATCCAACTAACCCAAGAATTGTTAATAAAAAATGTTTCACTTTCTATTTTTAGGTCCTGTTTTTATACAGCTTTTTCATTTGGTCTAAAAACTGCATCCTGCCCAACATGAGCAGTTATTGTTTTATTTCAAATTTCAACCGTTATTTTTAATCTTACTTTTTACCTACAAGAAAGGGTCTTGTTATCTAATAATATTGTAACTACTATTGTAAGAGCGAGGAGGAGGAGTTTTCATCCCCATAAAAATGAAGCTTTCTCTCACACTCTACATCACTTTTTGCTCATTTACACTTGTTATCTGCTTCTTGATTGGCAGTTTGCAATTTGTTTCATTGTTTTCAAAGTTCATTTATTTTTCAATTGTTTTGATATTTCTAAATAATCTGATTAGTTGTTAAAGACCTTCTTTCTTTCTTTTTTTTTTTTTTTTTTTTACACTTTAGAGAACCAAAGTTCAATTTTTATATGGGATCAGTCTTGAATTTCTTTCTTCAACATTAGTAGGGGAACAGTTCTCTCTGTCAATTGGCTGAGATTGTTGAGAAGCAATTTTTTTTTATGTCACAAAGTAGATGTCATATAAATATTTTACTCTTGAAGGAAGAAACTGGACATTTTCTGTTGAAATTTAGTTCTTTTAACATCAAAAAATTGTATAGCACATCATGTTTTTTTTTTTTTTTGTAAATCATCTTATAGTTACTAAAAATACATAAATGATTAGAGCTAATTTATTTATATATATATAAAAACACTAATTTCTTGATCATTGGGGGCCTTGTTGCGCTTCATCTAAGTTATGCTTAGAAAATCACCATAACACTGCAATTTTCTTATTGATAAATCAGACATAGTTGAAAAATCCCCAAAACCAGTTTTTTTTTTTTAATTTTATCCCCCCCCCGCCTCGTGGTGTGATTATAAAGCCTTGAGAAGATAAAGAAATATTAACTTCATGTGTGCTGGCTGCAAGGTGAGAGGAAGAAAGAAAGAAAAGTGGTCTGAAGTTATTGAATGAAAAAGTGTAGCTAAGAAATCTGAGCATCAAAAATTTGCACAAATTTTCCTGTTTAAAGATAGCTTTAAGCAGGAAAAGTTGAAGTAAATTAAATCAGTTTTTATGAAGATTTTTTTTTATTTTTCCTGATCCACTATATTGATAATTTAAGATATTTTTTTTTCTCATTTTCTGTTTGCATCATCCTTTATTCATCTAGCACACATTTTACACCCCTCTGTTTTCATTGTGGTTCATGGTGATATTCAAGGCAAAATAGAGATGATGTTAAAGATACCTTGTACATCCTCTCAGAAGTCCTTTCACCCACTGGTAGAGCTGTTGACCTCTGAGGGGCAGCTCTTATGCCCAGGCTGGTAACTGGCTGATGGCACAGGTGGTTAGGGAGGGGGAGAGGTGTTCCCTTTCACCAGCCAGGTCGGGAAACCCTTCTGACTACCTTCACAGAGTTTAGCTCTTTTTTTTCTCTTCTTCGCCAGGTCATTCTCTTGAAACTAACTAGCAGACTTTCCTTGGAAGTCATTCATTCTGCTTTCCTAATTAACTAAGGATCATTTTCTGTTTTCACTCAGAATTTTTGTACTTCCATTTCTGTTAGACATGCAGTACTTACATTCTTATTCAGTAGAAGTAGAATAAAAATAGGAAGTGATTTTAAACAGTAAAATTTTTATCATAGACTTTTTTTTTTTTTTTAACCAAGACAGCATAGCTTAAGGGGTGGAAGCAAATAACCTTTTTGTTCTGTAGGGTATATGATAATAGTAGTACTTTATACTACCATCATATAATCTTTTAGGAAAGTTAGAAGTACTAATTGCAACAGTTTATTTTATTTGACTCAGATTATTAATAACTGATTTTTCTGTAAAATAGAAGTTAAAAATAATCTGGTTGCTTTGGGATTGTGAATGAAATATGTCCTGCCATAAATAGCAGCAGACAAAAAAATTTTTTTTTTGTAAAAAGCTACAATAATTTGAAATGAAAAATTAGTCTGCTCTTTATTACTGTTGTAGTGTATGAGCCATTTTTTTTTTTTTTAAATATTTATTGAATTTACCAACGAAAAGGATTACTTTGTAAGCTACAACTCCAATGGATATAATTTAAATGTAATTTTTCTCACTTATTTTAAAAAGTAGTTAAGAATTAATTTTCTTTCATTGTCAGTAAGAGGAATGAGTGAAGTCGTTTTGTTTTCAAAGACAACGATTTTTCATTAGTTCTGGTCATTATTTGAAGTAAGGGGGAGATACTCGCGATAGGGTTTTTCTTCAAGGGAGATAACTCACTATCAACACAAAAATACAACAAACAACATTTATGTTTAAAAAATAATACTTTATTCATATGCAAATATCTTTTTAAGTGACTGCAATTTGTGACTTATCCCATTGATTCTGATTCTGTAGTTTACAAGCAATTTCCATAAATGAGGACACATGTGGCAGTTTCCTCACTCTTTCTACCTGCATGTATGCCAGAATATATTACAAAAATGAATATAAATAGCTCTTAAGATCTGTATAGTAAATAGCTTAATATGGAAGAGAAAGTTTTCAGTGAGATTGTCACACTCACTCTAACATTTAATTCTGTAGCTTGAATAAAAAGGTTCAGAGTTTTGTTTGAAGAATTACAAACACACAAATGTTAAGGATTTAAAAAAAAAAAAAAAAAATACTTGGGGTTAAACTTTCTCACCATATGTGGATGGAGATGGATTACTAATTAATTATCTTTAAAAAGAGTGAACTTACACACATTATTTCTCTTACACACTCTCTTTCTCTCTCACACACATACTTAACAATGCCATGGATCAGATAAGGGTGGCTTTTCTTTTCAAAACCATCCAAAATGAAAAATCTGATTCATAATTCAATAGAACTTTGTAAGGAGAAACACTTCAATAGAGAAGGCAAACATATTTTCTGAGCATTTTAAAATTCTTCACCAATTCAGGTTTTCTTTATCAGCTCAATAGAATTTACATTGCCAGGTGAATTTTGAAACCCAACCATTCTCCCCCCAAGGATTATTGCAAGTTATGAAGAAAATTTTTAGTTTCTTAGGTGTGTTCTTTTTGTTTCTTTTCTCTATTTGAAATCAAAATACTGACAAATCAAAGGCCTTGATTTCAAATATTACCAAAAATTGTTCTCTTCCCCCTCCCAGCTGCATGAGAAAGGACAAAAAGAAAATGCAAAAAACTAATCAGTGAATCAAAGATAATGTTACTTTTCTAAATACAGAAGAAAATTTGTCTTGATTGTTATTATTTCAGTCAAGCAACATTGCTGCTCTATACAAATCTTCAATCCCCCCCCGCCTGTCAACAAAATGTTTTTAATGCATTCATTTCCATCTAAATTGGCTTCCTAATTATGGTTCACAAATTTGTAAAATATGAGTTTCACTAAAGTAAAGGACCCAAAAAAACAAAACAAAACAATAGACTGAATTTTTGGTATATAATCAAAGAAAAGAGATTGTTGGTAGAATGGAAAAAAGAGAAAAAAAAAAAGTAGTGAAGGCAGTTGTTATTCATTGTATAAATTTATGTCATTGTCTCAAGAAGGAAGATAATCTGCATAAGTAAATAAATGTTAAGTCCATCTTGGCCTTTTTGATGGAAAATGGTTTGTTATCCTCCACCCCACATCTATTTATATCTCATTTTGTACTTTGCATTCAATGATTTTCTTTTAACAAAAAACAAAACAAAAAAACCCAAAAATTTCTCTTAAAACGAGACTGTACTAAAAACTAGATACCTGACTGAAGAATAATTGTGGTGGGTATGATCATAGAAAATGTTTTAATTGGGATGAAAACCAGAGAAATGAATGTTAATGGCACATCAGAAAGACTTTCAAAGATGAGAAAACTTTAGGAGAAATGTGTTGAATTCAGGAAAGCAAAAAAAAAGTTTAGATTTGAAGAAATAAAAGTGGAGAAAGCAACAATTTTAATTAAAATCTAAATTGGGGAAAGAAAAGTTTTAGCTACACAATAGCTTCTTTGTTTTATGTCTTGTGTGTAGGGAGCACCTTCGAAAATTAAAATAACCATTGCCTGGACGTTCATATTGAGCATTAAAATGCTCTAATATAAACTTTAATTTTTTTCAAATGTATTGAAAAAAATTACATTGTGGTAAAAAAACAAAACAAAAAAAAACAAAACAACTTACTTCTCAGAGGGAGCAATGAAGAAAATTATGTAAATTTTCTGTATATTTGCATATATAATATAAATTCAAAGGGCGATAATCGATTCTATAAAATATTTAAATGCTTTGTGCATAGTTTCTCTCTGGAGCACAATAAATGTCCGGTTCATTTAGATATTAGTGTCCATTTATAAAAATAAAATCACCAATACCCATCCCTCTCTACTTTCATTTACTAGTTCATTTTTTTTTAAAGTAAATATTGGTAATTCGGCAATGTTTTAAAACCAGCCAAAATATTTCAAGATTATTGGAGCAGAAAGCAAGTAAATAAAAGTTCTTGCTTTTTAAAGTACAGCAAGTCTTAGTTAATAATTAAGAAAAAAAAGTGGTCTAATTTATTTTCACTGGATATAAAATGGTCAATATTTCAAAAGATATCTTATAGCTTTCTGTGTACTTTCTAGTACAACCAAAAATGTAAAATTTAAAACAGTCATGTATAGAGTGAGCCCACACCTCAAAAAGGACAAAAAGAGAGTAATACAAATGAAATGTTGAAGTCAAACACTCCCCTCCCCAACACCTTCATTGAATAAAGACACAGTAAAAGGACATTAGATATGGAGGAAATATTCGAGGAAAGAATTAAAAAAAAAAAAAAGAATTAATCTAAATCAGATATTCATTGTGAGCGACTCAACGTCTTTGAAGAAAGATCTTTAAGCGGATACAACAAAAATTACCTCCCTTGTCTTGAAATTCTAAGTTTCTATACACTGACTTTTTTTTTAATATTCTTCTCCACATAAAGAGTGTATATATTTTTTTCCCCAGTTTTAGGAAATAAATTTAAAAAACAAAGCACAGAAGAAATTCTCCATAAAAAAAAATTGATTTTCCTTAAAAAGGTAATTTTAATTAAGTGATGCCTATTTCACCACAAATCATTGATCAAATTACCCACAAGGGGCCCCTCAATCCCACCAGATATGTTTCTTTTGTAATCATTTTTTTTATCAGTGATTGATGCTTAAAATCAAATTCATCTCACTCACTCACACATTGTATTTGAAAGTTTTATAATGTGGGTACTATTAAGGGAATTTTGATACTTGCAAAAAGTCTCTTTTCCTTTAATATTTTTTTACATTCATTTTTTTTATTGCTAGTTTTTTGTCATTAAAGTCAGTTTAGAATTAAAAAAAAAAAATTCCAGATGAGAATTGAACTCACATCTCATGGTTCAAAAGCTCATCTTTCATAGACTGCCATTAGAAAGTTAGAAAAGGAAGAGTGACACATCTGAAAGGGAATTCTATTGTGAATTCCTTCAGCTTAATTTTATGACTTAAAGATAAAGAGTAGGATGAGTTTACATCCCAACATGTTTCCAGAACAAAATTCAATTGTCCTTTATGGACTCCCATTAGCTTGATATGTGAATTTCTTACATGCCCAACTCTAAGATATTTCAACTGAAATTCAATAGAGTATATTCTGCTTAAAATAATTTAAAAACTAGGAGTTGAATAAGTGATAAAAAAATATTCAATTCTACATGCATGTATTTAGACTAAAGAGAGAATCTGCCAGAGTATAATTAGCCAAAGCTTGTGAATGTCAGGAGTTTATTCTTCACAAGGTGCCTTTATGGCCTTGTGTCATAGTAAGCTAAACTTAATAAAATAAGGAAACATTTGATCGATCATTACATGTGCCTCATGCCAGTTTATGCTTAAGCTGAGGAAATATTTTGGCATTAAACAAATTAAGAAAATTCACAGAAAATGAAAAAGGGCAATTTTGTTTCATCTGAGGATTTTAAATAAAATTACAAAGAAAACAAATAGCTAAGAGCAAAACATTTTTCCTTTCAGTATCCACATGAGTTGAAGGAAAGTTTACTCCCAAGTTTAAATGGAAAATTAAGTAAAATGAAATATCAAGTTCTAAACTGGGTTGGGGGACAGTTTGATGATAAGAAGTTTGTAAATTTAACAATGCCTCATATCATTCTTTATTCATACATTACAAAGAAGACATCCAAAAGCTAAAAGAAACAAAGATCTTATCAAAAAAGATGAGAGGAAATGAGTTCTATAGGATAATAAATTCTAATGCAACACAACCTGTTTAGGGTAAAAATAATTTTTCTTCATTCCTTTTTTTTTTTCCACTTTTCAGGTGAGCATTGAAATAATTATAACTGGTTGACCTTTAAGGTCAACATGTAAAGAAAAAAAGAAGACAATCTATCCACATAAGAAAAATAAATAGGGATTTATAAAAAACGAAAAAAAATAATATTAAAAAGTAAACATTTGGTAAATGTTATTCTTAAATAATCTAATTTTTTTTATATGTCTTAACAAAATCTTAAATATCTGCCATTCTGAAGTTCTGACTATAAAAGCAAAATAAATGTAATCATATTTTCTGAAGGGGAAAGAATTATTGGCAGTTGAATATAAGAAATAAATAAATTATAAACTAAGACATGTAGGTCAGGAGATGGGGGAGTGGAGCAGAGAATTTGGGACAGTTGGAATAAAATGTACAACATTATCTATCTATCTCTCTCTCTCACACAAACCATTTTTTTTTTCTTCCTTTGTCCATAATTTTTGTTCATTGGTCAGTTTCTATTACATGATATTCAGTAAACTACAAAAACAGGAGTTTGTCACTTTTTCATAAAAAGAAAAAAAAAAGGGGGTCAATAGCAAAAATGCAAGATTCTGTTAGTCACGTTCTTGATTACACCATTTTTTTTTTTTTGCTTCAAAGAATTTTTAAAATCATTTTCCTTTTTAATTAATATAAGAAATAGTTGTTTTTTTATATGCCACAGCCAAAAAATTCTTTTATATATATATATATATATATATATATATATATATATACACACACACACACACGTCCACCCACCCCCACTTTTAATTACAAGAAGCCAACCACAATTTACATTAAGAATCTGGTTAGCAGAAGCCATTTGTTATAATTTTAGATTTAAAAAAATGGGGAAAATATTTCAACATATTTAATAAAAAAAAAAAATAAATAAATAAAAAAATAAAAATAAAAATTAAAACATAAAAATAATAGCAAATGACAGATTTTCTGCCAGCCAGTGATGAAGAGGAAGCCATGAATGTCCGATATGAAGTTAATTCTTTTGCTCAACTTGTCAGAGATGTTCATGGCATTGGGTCTCAGATGGGCAAGAGACGGGTTCTATAGATCACAGTCCGATGCCAATATAACAAGATGCGATTTTTTTTGATTTTTTTGAGGAAGGCATCCAAAAAACAAAAATAACCAAATGTCTTTCATCTATCAAATTTTTCTATTCCAGTATTAAACAGACTTTCATTTCTCACATAGGAAAAGTTGCAGATGGAAGGGAGTGTCACTTTTGGTGTTTTTTTTTTTTCTCTTTTCAGTTTTTAAATAAAAATAATTTCCATTATTTGATCATCTTCAACAACACTTTCCCAGTAATTGAGTGAACATGGAAATTCATTCTCACAAAATGTTCTTTCTTTTCCCTTCACCACACAACAAACTGGTGGTGTTAATGATGATATCGGAAGACCAAATGACTGAGAATTATTTGAACAATCATTCTCCCCCCCCATATATATATATATATATATATATATATAAAATCCCTTCATCTCCCCATTTGCTAAGACTTTGTCAAGTTTCGATTTTTACTAACAGGATGAAAATTTGAAGAGTTTCCATAAAAAAAGCTCATGCAGAGTTGTCTGTCCCTGGAATCCCCCCAGCCACCATTTGGTTTAGGGTCACGGAGACGTAAACCAGAATACCCAGCTAAATTAAGAACATTGGGGAAAAAGTTTTGTTTATTGTCCCATAAAAGTTTTTCAACTGCTTTTTTCTTGGATTCTGGACTGCAATTCTTTCCCTTGTGGTGAACCCCACTGTAAGAATAAAAAAAAATGTCAGTTATCAAATGCAAAGACAAAACAGGTAGCAAGAAATGGAGGAAAAAGACAACCAGACATCAAGAGAAACATTGATAGATCGATTTGTTTTTTTTTTTTATGACTTAACTCATTGTCGTCTATTTAAAATTGAAATACTTAGAGTTGTAAGAATAATACCTTCTTAGTGAGCGAATATTGCATTAATTTTTTTTTTGAGAACAACCATAATTTTTTTTCATATACACGTTCTATTTAACCCATAGTTTTTTGGGGGGGGGTTGGGGGGGGGATAGATTCCCAACAGTATTTGCATGTAAGTCAATGTAACAAACCAGATTGGAATTCAAATGCATTTAGAGGCGGGCAGGGGGGTGAACTGGAATGAAAAGGCAAACAAAATAAAACCTATCATTCAATTTATAGTTTGCAAACAACTCATTGAACAAGAGAATAGACTTTCTGAACTAATATCCTGATCTTTATTTTCAGTTTTTAATTGTTGATTTCTGTCATTTTCAATCATGACATATTGATCATAATGTTTCTATATAAAGGAAAATCAAAACATGGAGTAGAAGTACAGGCAGTAGGCAACAAGTTCAGTCAAAAATTTGATTTTCTCCTCTCTTTGTTGCCAGATTTACAAAAGAAAGATTTAATAAAACAAACTCATGATAAGGAGGAGGATGAAGAGACACAGATTGTACAAAGTGAGGAAATTGAATTTGGCATGCAAAGTTCAATTCCCCCTTGATTTTGTTCACTTGGTACTAATGTTCATGGAAAAGGTATGATCCCAGTTTTCTAAAGCTATGGTTTAAATAGCAAAGCAGATTAGGCTCTTGCACCTTGAGTTAACCAGTCTAAGAGGAAAAACTGAACTTAAAAACCACCTTGAAGAGGGCTGGGCTACAAGACACACCATTGCTGCTATGGTAGCCTTACATGTACTGTCGTTATGATCTTAGTGAGTTACAGAACTTGCAACATGACAACCCATGATAAGAAACATAGTTTCACTATAATTTTTCTGGACAGATGAGTAAATCTATAAATGGATTTGCAAGATTGTTTTTGAATTATTCCAGTGTAATTTAATCACACGAGATGCACTTTGAAGGAAAATTTTACAAGAAGGTCTGTCTAGAGTTTTATCTAAGATATTTCTGCTCTCAGATTGCATATACTTTTTGTTTGTATCAAGTAAAAGATGGTGAAAAATGGAAGATTTTAAAATATTCTCTTCCTCCTCAAGCCTTTCGGCTATCAATTGAAGACAAAAAAATTTTGTCAGTTGGAATCAAAGTCCAAATTGAAGCATTTATTGATTTCAGATATGAAAACAGAATTTCTCTTTATTTTGGCATTTTCCTTCCAAACCCAGAAACTGCAGCAAACAGAATTTTACTCTTTCAATTTTTAGAGAAGAACAGAGATGGAAAGAAGGAATAAACCAAGAAAGAAGAATTGGGATGGGGGGTAGAATGAGGGAGGAATAATGAAAAGTAGAAAGAATATAGTAAACATGAAAATCAGAAAATAGAATTAAATTATTACAAAAAAAAAAAAAAAAAAAAAAAAAGTAGACAAAAAAAAAAAACAGTTTAAAAACAAATAAAAGAAACAAATTTAAGAATGTAAAGCAGAAAGTTTAGAATTTTGTCAAAGTCTGCAGTTTTGTGTTAATGTAAATGGAAACAGGGAAATGATTGCAATTCTTTGAGCAAATGATTGAGGACAGTTCTCTGGAAAAATCCTTCGACCCCCCCAAAAAAAAAAAAATCACTTATTCACAAACAAAAACAGAATTTATTAATATTTGGAGAAATGGTGGTGGTGGGTTTTCCCACATCATTTCATTTGCATATGTTGGAGGTTTAAAATTTCTTAAACATCCAACTGGTTTTTACATGTTCCATTTTTTATAATTTGTTCAGATATTTTATATCTGTTATGTGTGTGTATATATATATATATATATATATATATATATATATATATATATATATATATATATATATTATTTATAAAAAATGAAATTTCATTTTGATATTGAGTTTCTCAGTTCCATTAATATATATTTCACAGCAAATTTATTTTATTAATTTCTGTCTGATGTTTTAGGATGAGGAGTTATTTTTACATTCAGACTAATATTGTCATCTTTGTTATGATAACATTTGTCAATTGTGTCCTACAGCCATGCTTTAAATTCAGACTTGGCAAATGGGATGAGCAATAACTGAGCAGGACTCAAAAAAAGAACAAGATATCCTTAGACATGGACAGCAAAATGAGAACATTCTACTTCAACAGATTAAATAAAGAGTTCCGTTCTGAACTCTCTGAAGATTACGTGGATCGACAGACATCTGAAGAAGGAGAGCATAGTAGCTGAAACATTGTGGTAATGAAGAGTAGAAAATTTGGACTAATGTAGATAACTTTTATAATTTACAAAAAACTCAATACTATTTTTTATTACACAACCATCCTTTTTTGCCAGTAATGTTTGAACTGAAGACTTGTATTGAATTTAATGTCAGCATTCAACAACTTTGAAATAGATTAAGGCACTGAAAGATTTACCTTATAAAGGATTGGCTGGTAAGACTTGGTAGAGTAGAGACTGAAGACTTGCATTGAATTTCATTTGCTTTCAAACATGTCAGATGCTTTAAGTGCCAGGTTATGAAACTATACAATCATTCAATGGGAATTATTTTCTCTTATCAAATTTTTACATGTCAAGAAATTGTACCAACATCTTGGATTCTCTTAGTAAATTCAGTTTTATTGTGAAGCAATAAATTTAGGTTATAAGATTGAAAAGGTCATTTGAAGTTATTACTTACCAGGCTCCCATATGAAATACCCGGGTAGCCTTCATTTTCATAACCTTCACAGTACCAGGGATGCATTTCATGCTTAGATGCTGTAATGTCCAATCCCAGTTGTAATCATCAAAATGGCAAAAATCCTGAAAATTTATTAAAACAAATTAAAGAAAAAGATAGAAAATAAAATTCTAATTTGTTTCTGTATAGTAAGTGGCTATGGTTAATTGTAATTGGTAGAACTACCCAACAAACGATAACAAAAGACCAGGGCTATATATATATATATATATATATATATATATATATATATATATATATATATATATATATCTGACAAGATTTGCCAGTGTAGCCATACAAAAAAACCCAACCCAACCTTACACAACTCCAAAACCTGACATCCCACAAGCACCCTACTTCCCTCAAAGCAATGATCCCTTGATAAAGAAAAAACAAACCCCAGACCAGACCTCCATCAAGACTATGAGTAAAACATTCCATAGCATAGTTATTCCAAAACAAGGCTTGAGGATGAAACTGCCACCCAGTGGTTAAGGTTTAATATTGGAATTAAACTTAAATACTGCTAACCAGTTTCAAAACAGTAATTTCTGTGTTGCGATGGAATCATATTATATATATATAAAATATGTGTGTATATATATATATATATATATATATATATATATATTTATATATATATATATATATATATATATATATATATATATATATATATTGAGCAAACAATATATTCAAGGCAAAGCAATAGTAATAAGGCAAAAAGTTCACAAACAAAGAATGGTGTTCACATACAAAAACAGATAGAGACAAGCAATCGCAGTGTTCTGACTTCAAAACAAGAAAGACCAGAACTGAGCCAGATGAAACTGAGAAGTGGCTCATCTTATTGGCTAGAAAGAAATCCCAGAATGCATCTGTGTGGGGTTGTTTTTGCAGTTATTTCCCAACAAGGATTGGAACTGAGATTCATGAGTAGAAATTATTCAACAGAGCTGATGGTCATCCGCAATTTAGCTTCTCCTCAAGTGTGTATCAAACATATTCCTTGGAAAAGGAATGAATATGTCTCTTTTCCTCTAATCTATGGGTTAAATAGCAGATTGGACATTATCCTTGGGTGGTAACCATTCTAGGAGAAGGAAAATCTGAATTTAAAACTTTGGAGAAGGCCATGGGAAACCACTCCACTAACTTTCCTAAAAAGGTGTGGCAATTCACAAGTAATAATGAAAAGGAATTTGGAGAGAGCCTAAACCCTGAATAGACATGGCATTAAAAAAAAAAATTTTGATTTCATGTTTGGTTAATGTGACAACAATATAAGAATAAAACAATCATTATTAAGACTTGTTACAGACTGCATTTGAACCAGCTATACACAGGTTTTGATGACTTTACTATGGCACTACCACTCCCTTGCTTAGCTATACTCATAATCTTCTTTTATGTGCTGTGTCCATTCAGGATGTAGGTGATCATAGCTCTCCACTTCCCCCTATCCCTTGTAATTGTCAATAGGTTTTGTACTTTTGCTACTTCTCCAGAACCCTGTTCTGTTATCCACTTGCTTAAATCTGCTAAGTATGTCACGTGTTGCTTTCCCTTGTGTCTTTTATCCCTCTATCCACCCTGTGAATATCAGATTCTCCAAGCCCTCCTTTCTTAATACGTGTCCCAGAAATTTCAGCTGCTTCTTTAAGTATAAGCTTTTTCCTTGTTTGCATTCTCTCCAAAACCTCATTGCTGTTCACATGTTCAGACCATAGTATCCTTTACATCTTTCTATAGAACCATATTTCTGTTGCCTCGAGTCTCTTCTTCATCTTTGAGGAGACCATCCAACATTCACTGCCATAAAGGAAGACATATCACGTAGCAGTTCAGTACTCTTTTCTTTGTTATCAACGAAATCCTCCTGTAATATTCTGCCTAGCTTTTGGAATGTGTCTTTGGCCATCCCAATATCTTTGGATCTCAACATCGCACTTACTGTCCCTCTGTCAGACCACTTCCCAGATATTTAGATTTCCACACCTTCTTGATTTTAGTGTCCCCCAATCTTTTTTTTCCGATGACCATGCATTCTGTCTTCTTGCAGTTTATGCTTAGTTCCTTCTTCTCACTCTCCTTCACTACTTTCTGTAAGAGGTTTTGTAATTTGTTTTCCCTGTCTGCTATCAGCATTGTGTCATCTGAGTATCTTATGTTATTAAGATTGTGGCCACCAATGCTGAATCCCAGTAGGATCACCAATTCTCTCAGAATTGCCTCACTTTATAGACACATCCTAGCCTTACACCCCTTTCTATTTTTGTATATTTGCTGAACCCATTCTCAATGCACATGCATGCCATTTGCTGCCAGTATAGGTTCTTGATTATCTTAATATTTTTCCCAAATATATCAAGGTTGCTGAGCATTTCCAGCAGATCCTTGTGGTGTACTTTGTTGAATTCCTTTGTGTAGTCGATAAAATATAGGTAGACGGCCTTCTGCAACTGTATTGCTCATTCTGACAACATTCTGAACATGAATATCGCATTCCTTGTTCTGGTGTCTTTAATAAACCTGCCCTGTTCTTGTCCTATCTCTGGCCTGATTCTGCTGCACACTCTATTCATCAAAATACGGATGATGTTTAGTGAAGTTTACATGATCTATATTTCGTATAATAACTAAAATTAACTATAACTAAATTCTCTTCAAGGATTGAATTTTACAATTTATTAAATTTCAGTCGCCAATACATTTAAAAAAAAAAAAAAAAAGGAGAAAAATCAGGAAAACAACAAATATCAATGGAATTAAAACAAAAAGTCTATTATTGACAGACTTCAAGAACGAACATTCTATGACTGGAACCTCAGATGTGGCTACCCTTTTGTGCCAAGAGTGATTTTTGCTAGGCACATACCTAACCTTCTTCTTGTTAATTCTGAGTTGTCCTTTTCCTAGACTGGTTGCCAACCAAAGCTAGAGAGGCAAGTCTGCCCTGCTGTTTACCTCTAGCTAAGAAGAAATCAATTCATGCAGTTCCTTTGGTATCAGTGCAATGTAAACCATCTCAGGTGGAATTTGTATGTATGTATGAAAAAAACAAACCAAACCCTACCAACACAAAGCCTGCCAAATGAAAAAAAATTGAAACAACAAAAGAAAAAGAAACAACAAAATAGAAGTGAAAGGAAATATAAAAGGAAAAATAAAAAACTGACACCCACCTTAGATAATAATTTAAAGTGCTCAATACCTCTAGCAAATAGACCAAGACAGTGCAGTAACACTAACCAATGAAACAGCACAAAGAGACTAGATCAAAATCATTATTCCAAATTCTACAGTGATTGTCAGATAATAATAACTGTGTATGTGTGTGTATATATGCGCCGCACACACACACACACACAGATGTGCCAAAAGTCGTGGGATAGGCGATTAGTAAAACTTATAAGACACACTTTAACTGAGCAAAGTGAAGCAACTTAATGTGGCATTTGATTCCACTAGTTATCAGAAAACCTGCTGCCTGAATAAATGTAGGTGCTGCAATTTGTAAGTGACGAAACCTCTCTGTGTCTTATAAATATTTGATTAGGCTTAGGCAAACCCTCCCACCATTCATTTAAAAGTCTGCAGAATTCTCAAACCAATTCTTGGCAACTTGGGCCAATAACACAATGCATTATCCTGTTGAAATAATGCATTGTTGGTGATGATGGTGCACTACATGGAATCCATGAATGGAATAAAAATGTTCATGAGCAGTGCAACATGTTTAGGCAGATCATCAGAGCCAAACCATACCACATGAATACAACCAACACCATTATGAAACTGTCACCAGCGTGCATTGTGTTGATAACAAGGCTTCATAGAGTCTCTATCCTTTAATCCAAACAATTGAAACTAAACTGATAAATATGCAGCTGGTACCTCTCATATTAAACATGGATGAAATTTAAACAAATGTTGTTTGTCTGTTATTGTAGACAATTCTAGTCAGATGTTGGAACTTAATTCACATGAATTGCCATAAGCAGCCTAGCTAATGTTCTGACTGACTCATTAGATGTTGGAGAACAACAGATATAGGTCTGAGTATTTGCATAATGTCAAGATATAGTGACACTATCTACCATTAACATTATGTACTGGTAATCCATTACTCTTTGCACATCAGAGTGTGTGTATAAAATACTGAAAAAATAACACTTGCATTTATTTAAAAAAAAAAAAAAAGAATTTTTTAGATCCAATTTGTTTGGCTAACATTGCCGACAGAGACATGTATAGTGAGATTTTTGTTAAATATTTTCTTAATTTGAAAAATGAAGCAATTTCTAGTTGAATTTGCAGCTTGTGTGGGGTCTGCATTTATGATAATGGTTCAATTTTTATGTTTGTTACAAAAACTGAAAAGTAAATCTTTTCAACATTGAAAGAGGAAAAGGAAAGAAACTGCTCCATAAGATCCATAAAATGATTTTTTTCAAAAAACAAAATGAAAGTTACATATTTTTATATAGAAATAAAATTTAACTGCTAATTACAGAGTAATCCCCCTTGAACACTTTTTAAATTTACAAATAATATAAATTGAGTAAATAGGAGACAGTTTCATATTGAGCTTAACTGCCACCTTTGGCAGACTGACTTTAATTATCATTATTATTAAATCAGTGAAAAGAAAACTAACACAAAAAATAAATTCAATTTATAAAAATGAAGGGGAATGGGGTTAAGAGGAGGACAAAGAAGTTGAATGTCAGGAGTGGGGATAAAAAATAGAACATATGGAGGGGTGATGTTTTGTTTGGATTGTTTTACGGCATATAAACAACTCAATGGGTTATTTAATACCGACAAAATTTTTATTGCTAGTAATATTTTTTTTTTTTTTTTTTCAAATAGTGTATTGATAGTAAAGTCTTTTTACAAAAAGCATTTCTGTTATTAAAACTTATTTTTACAATGCCATAGTGTTTTGAGGGTTAACTATTTATTCATAGCTGGGACCCTGACAGGTGCTATCACTTCAGGTCATCAATTAAGAGGTGGCTGCATGCTCCTCAAAACATCCTGATAAGAGGCTTTGTTGTTGGACATAGTTTATCATCTTACCCAGAACACAGATGTAGTTTATTGTCATACCCAGGACGGGGAGATGTAATGTGGAGGGCAAAGAATTGGAATATGTGTGGATGTGAGGGGAATATAGAAATGGAGGTAGGTATGGATAAGGGGTGTAAAAAAAAAAAAGTGCCCTTAAAAGTTATGAAAGGGACCTTTTCATAACTCTGAAGAGAATGTAAACCTGACAATTCTGCCTGCTTTGGTTGAGAAAAATACAAAATGGCTGGTTGGGAATCACTTACCACACCACATTTTTTAATATCTTCCCACATTTGTCTGGTGAATGCCATTCCCATGTTGTGCCTGGAGGAGACCCATCGTGCAATCTCCACCTGAAAACAGAAAGAAACAAGATTAAAGAATTGGACAGTTTATCATGCCACCCACCTTTTTTTTTTCACATAAAAATAAGGGAAAGAAAATTTTTTCTATTGTGTTTGATGGCTGAGAGAGTTTTGTATCTATTACTGGCTGTCAGTAGTCAGGAACCCAGGTAAAATACCAAGATTTCAAATGCTGCATCAACACAATCTTCCTTTTTTAGCTCCATACAAAAATATTTAAAAAATGCAGATAGATTATATTAAAAATAAAAATACATATTGTCTTTTTATTGGAGATTTAATTTCACTTGCTTTTTAAAAGTGCTGAAAAGATATTCATTTCTCAAGTCAAAATAAAATATGCATCGTGTCTCAAAAATAGTTCTGTTGACAATCTGATTTTGTAGCTAACTTCAGTGAATTTTTTCAAACATTTTTCTCATCAGTTATTGGTTTTACTTACCATATTTCATTTAATTAAAGTTATTTTGTGGCATATATTTACATTTAATATTAAAGTCTTACAGAATTTGGCTAATGTACAAATGGCAGTCTCTACTGTTTGAGGTTCTACCAGATATGTCAATTGTTGTATATAAAACCTGGGAGATATTCATGTCCCATTTTGTGGGGAGGATATATAATTCTTACCATATGTTCCAGTTTGAGAGGCTGGTTCCGGTGTCCTCCCAGAGATATAAATTATCAGCATTTTTCTTTTTTTCTGTGTGTGTTAGGCCCTGATGCTTAAGGGCTGTTGGGTCATGAAGATACTTTATTAAGCAAGAAACCTGTCTCAGCTTGAGGCTTGGAGATTATTGCTAATACACACACACATATATATATATGCGTGTATGCATATGATGTTCTCAGTTATAGCAGTAAAACATTAGAAATACAATTTTGGAATATTTGGAATAGAAAACATTACAAATATTTTAAAAATATTCTCTATCAACTTTATTTTATTTTTGCAGTAAGGTTCTCCCTGTACAAGGCCCAAGAGCCACTCAGAGTAGAGGGTTACATTAAGGGTAGTTTATATGGATTGTAGGGGAAGTGAAATACTGAAGTTATTCAAATATTAGTTTAGCACAAAGAAAAATAGGTGAACAATTTTGTTGAGAAGACCAAACATAAAATATCTAGTAGTATTCACAAATTTTGTTTTTTGTTTTTTTAGATGAAAAACAAATCATTTTTATATAATTTCATTTTTAAGCTGAATCATGAACAAATTCACAAATTTTGGTCATTAAGTTTTTAGAGTCAGTGTAATTTTATTCTAAATTAATTCTAAGGAATTAAAAGATTCTATTCTCAATTTCTTATTGCTCTTAATGTTTTTTTTTTATTATTAATATTTTATACAGTGAAAGAAAATGTGTTTCTCTAGTAGGGTTTGAACTTGCATCTCACTTTGTAGGAGAAACCAGTCTAATTAACAAGAAAGAGTTTTGCCGGACAGTATCAAGGAATGTGCATCATCTTGTTGAGGATTTCTTAAAAGTCAATATTAGCTGAATTTTTATTTTATTTTTGTATCTGTAAGTAAAAATGGATTTTACTCTTAATCCAGCATCCTTTTCTAATGTTTAAACTATAAAATAATGTTTAGAATAATACAGACTTTTGAAAAGATCTGAAGGAGAAGATGTAGAGAGAGAGAGAGAGAGAGAGAGAGTGTGTGTGTGTGTGTGTGTGTGTGTGTGTGTGTGTGTGTGCCAATTGCAGATAACTCCTGAAGAACAATTATTAAAAAAGTCTGTCTATGAAACTCTGGAGTCAGGGTGCTGAATATAACATCAATCAGCTAAGTGACAAATTTCGTGGGTGTGTAAATAATGTTTGAACATCAGCCACACTTATGACGATTGACAGATACTAAATATGGAATTAAGTACCCAATAATTACAATATTTTAATCACAATTTAAAAAAGATCAATTTATTATTTGGAAATAATAAATCTCACTAAAAGTTAAGTTGACCCAGAAGTGAAAAAAAGAAAATCAAGGGAGAAAATTTTTCTTAGCACAATTCAAGATTTTATAAATTCTATTTTGTATTTATAATTGTGATATAAAATAATTTTCAACTCATTAACTGTGGTCAAACTATCTGCTATTTGCAGGCGAGTCAAAACTGCACTGATAAAAAATTCTGTCATCTGCAGTTGATTTTAAATCTTACATTTTGGTAATAATTATATAAACTAGAACAAAATGAAAAACTGCCTGCATCTCCTCATGTCAAGCAAATGATGTGTCGGATGGGGGTGGTAAGTGGAATGATGCTGGAAATGACTTGTTTATAAGAAATCTATTTTCCACAGAAAAGAGGGAAAGATTTTTCTCCGAAAGTCAGAAATAAAGATGGAGGAAGAATAGCTAAGAGAGGAAATGACATTTAAGTTTTTGTCACTTCAGACAGAATTGAACATCACATTTCCAATGGACATAAAAAAGGCCATCTTATGGTCAGTTTAAGAGTAAGTACATTAGGCTTGGTTAGGTTAGTGGCATATCAAATCCTTATGAGTCATTTAATTTAATTTCCTTGGAAAATTTGGTAACATTTTTTTTTTTTTTTTTTACTATTAAAATCTATTTCTGAAAATGTTTACTATAAAAATGTATTTTTATACTTTCATGGTGTTTTGACCCCAGTTTCGGGGTTAACTATTTGCCCATAACTGGGACCCCAATGGGTGCTATCACTATATGGATTAGGATGGGCCTAAGAACAAAAGCAATTAAGAGGTGGTTCCACACTCTTCAAAACCAGCTGATCAGAGGCCTTGCTGCTGGATGCAGTTTATCATCAGACCCAGGACATTAAAGTAAATTAAAAAGAGAATTATTGGGAAAAGGAAGAGAAAAAATAATACTTGATGATTGATCAAGAGTTTGAAGGATTAGAGAAAGATGAAATTACTGAAGACTATATAAGAGCTAATCTCTTCAAATCCTCAGCACCTTTCTCAGTTTCAGACTCCAGGTAACACAATGTCCCTTGTACTGTCTTGAGCCTTCTTCAGATATTCACTTCATCCAGTTTTGATTTCAATGTTTTTGGCATGGTTCCAAATGCATATTATTATTATTATTATTATTACTACTACTACTACTACTTTTGAATCTGCATGCTTGTTTTTACAAGTTGCCTCCAAGTTTTAAGTAAAAACCTCAAGAGACTGCAAGTCAAAACATCATGATTATTGGTTTAACCAACTGTGCCGACAATCATGATCTGCTGACTTGCATTTGAATCTGATGTAAAACAATTCCATTTTGGACATAACAAAACTGTGAATCCTAATATTAAAAAAAATTAAGATTAATCAATTCTTGTACAACTTTGGAAATAGTTTAACTATTTAGCTTTTCAAAGAATTCTTACATCTCATAAATTTAGTGCTAATTACGGAACTAAAACCCACATGATAAAACCAGACACTATGTCAGTAAACGAATAACAAAAACAAAGATTTATTTCATTAAATCCAAACAATTTATCATTCAACAAATATTCAGTTATGAAATGTTTTGTGGTTAATGGTAATATTAGCCATTTCCTTATAAGGAAACATTTGGGCATCTAATATGAACATGTAAATGAATAGAAAAAATAACACTTAAATGAATGGAATATTTATAATTATAATACATTGATATTTGAAGAGGGATAGAAATTGTCTAGACCACAACAGTACTGAGGTCTACAAGAATACTGAGGAAGGTGCTGGAGATTTGAGAAGGCTTTGCTTTCACCCGATCTGAAAAGATCGCCGTAAAACATCTGGTGCAGACATGAAAATGCATGAAATAACTTAATGTTTTACACTCATTTTAAAAATTTTTTATTTCTTTGCAAAACATTAACATGAATAAGCAAAAGAGCAAGGTGCCTTGGAAATGAACAATGGGAACTTAACAGAATTTATTGTTTATTCAATTGAAATCTAACATAGCAGAATGGGTGAATAAAGAAGAAGAGTATTAGGAGGATGGACCAGTTTTGTAGTTGGAACACTGTAAGTGAAATGTTTTGTATCCGGTAAAGTTGATTTTCAAGATTGGATTTGTGCTATTAAACAAAGTTTAGTAAATATAAAGAAAGGTGTGAAGAGTGAAGAAAAGAAAAATGTACTGTGGAATGTGCATTGCGAGGAAAATTGAATGAATTCTGTCATGTGTTAACGGGGCATGTTCTAGTTGTTGTTTGTGGTCCATTTCAATAAAGGGAGAATCTTGCTGTAGAAGCACATTAGAGGTGATTGGGTTAGGATGACAAAATGTGAGAAAGGGGGCAGAGAGAGAGAAAGGGGGCAGAGGAGAGAGACAGAGAGGGGGGGGCAGAGGAGCGAGACAGAGAAAGGGGGGGGCAGAGGAGCGAGACAGAGAAAGGGGGGGCAGAGGAGAAAGGGGGGCAGAGGAGAGACAGAGAAAGGGGGCAGAGGAGCCGAGACAGAGAAAGGGGGCAGAGGAGCGAGACAGAGAAAGGGGGGCAGAGGAGCAGACAGAGAAAAGGGGGGCAGAGGAGAGACACAGAGAGAGAGAAGGGGGGCAGAGGAGACAGAGACAGAGAGAAAGGGGGAGGAGCAGAGAGAGAGAGAGGGGGGCAGAGGAGCAGAGAGAGAGAGAGAAGGGGGGGCAGAGGAGAGAGACAGAGAGAGAAGGGGGGCAGAGGAGCGAGACAGAGAGAGAGAAAGAAAGGGGGGGCAGGGAGGAGACAGAGAGAGAGAAAGGGGGGGGCAGAGGAGCGAGACAGAGAGAGAAAGGGGGGGGCAGGGCGAGACAGAGAGAAAAGGGAGGAGCGAGACAGAAGAAAGGGAGCAGAAGTGAGAGAGAAAAGGGGGGGGCAGAGGAGCGAGACAGAGAAGGAGTTCCCAAAAGTTCATATCTGAAACAAAGCAATTTCTAAATAAATAACAGATTTTTATTTATTAATCGAACATGTTTATCACTTTAAATGTTGTTATTAGTGGATACCCAGAATAGATATTCTGTTTATTTAAAACAGTATTATATTTCATCTAGTGACCTGAATATTCAAAAAATTTTATTAAAAAAAAAATGTACCCTCTGTCAGGATATCACAAAGTAATATCTGTTAAACTTTATTTTTATACCCAAAACAAAGTAATTTTTAAGTGATTAATGGATTTTTAAAAATCTCACATTATTTCTTTAGAATAAGAAATAATATTGCATATAAATTGGGGTTTTTAAGAGAATCTGACCAAAAGATCTTAAGTATTTCTTAAAATAGAGTAATTGAGCTTTACTTTGTTGTCAAGCCTCTCGTGGCTAAGCAGTTTAAAGAGCTTAAATATAAAACAAAATTCTGATTAAAGGAAAAAGTCACCTAATTCTCATAAGGTATATTAAAAACATACTCTTAAATCATGATGTTTATTTAAAAAAAAAACCTAATTCTCTTGTAGTTTATGTAAAAAAAAAAAAAAAAAACAAAGAAACTTAATTTTCAAAAGGTTAAAAAAATTTAATTACTTAGATAAACATTAAGTTTATTTTTCTCTATTATTTAACAAGGTGTGTATGTGTGCACACCTGTTCAAATAATAAAAAAATATTAATGGTAGAAAATCTTCAGGGAGCAGACAGACTGTTATATTTGTTAGCAATAAGAAAAAGAAGTCAAATGATTTTCTTTTTATTATTCAAATATTGATGGATTTTCAGTTTTTGGTTTCAGCAAACATTTTCAATCTACACAATCCACATCAGTAGATACTGTCCATTTTTGACAGACATTTTAAATGTAAACAAATTGATTATTGGTTTCTTGTTCTGAGCCACTATCAATTATTACAGCAACACATCCTAAATGTAGATCAAACTTTACACCTTCGTTCATTAGACCCTGAACTACCACCAGATACAATGAACAGATGTCCCCTTGGAGAGGCACCATGTCTTGGGCCTTAAACTCATATATGATCTCAAGTGAAACTTGTATAAATAAGCCATCATTAAAGATACAGGTAAAATGGTCGGTTCCCTGTACTGCTCCAGCAAGTACCTGACTCTTTCTGATAGTCTCTAACTTTACAAGAGCCAGATCAGGCTGAAAATGGAATACTGTTGTCATATTTGGGTGAGAGCCACCCAGATCTCACTCTTCAGCCTCAATAGAGTCCAAAAGTGTCTACAAGTCCTTGTGGGTGGAGAATTATTTTCCACCCTCCAACCTGTCTCTCACAGGCAGGATGTCGCAAGCCCCTTGCTGCTCTATCACTACTTTCACAGAAAGTGCTCAGGCGAACTACAATCCTTGGTTCCACTAGATCTAACCTTCACAGTAAGTTCACTTACAAACCACCCTCACTCCCTCTGGTGAGAAGTAAGTTCCACTCAAATAGCTTTGTCCCATGAACTACTGCTCTGTGGAACTGACTCCCAAGATGATGTTTCCCTGATCACTACAATCTTAACCTGTTCAAGTCTAGAGTTAACTATTATCTTCCTGTCTTATCTGTACAAACTGTCTTCTAACGTAAACCTCTACTTTGAGTGCCCCACACCCAGACTTTGTACAGGGTGAACCTTACTGTTAAAAATATGTTTGTCAAATTTCTATCAAGACTGAGAAGAGACAGCTAAAACTTTATAAATATACAACTTGTATATTTAATTCTTGAATGAAGGATTTTATTACTAATTCTCTATCTTTTTAATCACAACACCTGAATTCAACCTGTTCTTCCATAACTTTTTGGCATGTCACAGTTTTTCCTTTCTGATTGTGTTGATAAATCATTGCTGTAGTCGATGACTTGACTAGAGTTGGGATAAAAAAGTAACTAGAAAGTTAAAGCAAAGTAAATGCTAGTCAAAATTAATAAGGGTCAAGTGTGATTAAATTGGAAAATTTTAAGAAAGTGAAGTAAAAGAAAATTTCATCTTACCTTTCCTGCATTGAGTGCATAATTTTGTGTTTTATCATAATTTCCTAATGTGAGTATTTTGCAATCTTTGCAGTCTCTGAAAAAAATTTAAAAATAAATTAAAAAAAAAGAAAGGTGGGAACTAAAAAATATAAAAAAATATTAATATACATTGTTTCTGCACAACAAAATAGAAAAATAAGATTTAGAAAAGCACAAATCTTTATAAATATTTCAGTTTAATTCTTTATTTTCCAACCAGTGTTTCTTAACAGACATAAAAATAGCAATCTGAAAGTTATAGTAAAAAAACATCAAAACATCAAAAAGAAGCTAAAATAACTTGGGAAAATTTAATAGTACAAATGTTTTTCACAAATGAGTAGGTGTTTATATAAAGAAAGCAAAAAAAAAAAAAAAAAAAAAAAAAAAAAAAAAAAAAAAAAAAAAAAAAAAGAAAGAAGAAAAAAACTACCTCAATGGCTGAATTATGATCTGAAAATTTAGGTGGAGTAAGTGTTAATGCAGAAAACCAAATAATGCCCCAGAGGAATGCAGGTATGCACTTCTTCAAATGTTTCATTAATATATCTTGATAAAATACCTTGTCACTACCTTGATCTAATCTTTGACAGATGTTGGTATGAGGGCATGAGTGAACACTTGGGTAAACTACTCATCCACAATTACATTGCCAACCCAGACAAAATCATAAATGAACATTAACTGGTAGCAATAAGAAGACTACTCTGAAAAAGCGGATGTTAAGAGTTATAACTTATGACCAATGAAAATTCCCTCAATATAAAAATAAAAAAGATCAATTAAGTAATTTTCCAATTAAGCATTGTCACATTTAAGAAAGAATTGTGCTTTTTAAATCATTAAAAGTACAAATATCCAAAGAAAACAAACACAAACCAAAAGAAATAAAAAAAGTAATATATGAGCAGGCTAATCTACCCAACTTACTAAAGAGATAGATACACTAGTGTTGTGATAAAAACAGTGTCATCAAAAATGATGGAAATTGTTAGAAAGTTTTAATAGTGAGATGCAATGAAACAAAAGTCTTGAAACAATGTATTGAGATTCAATAAAGTGGAAATAAAGAATTCACAATGAAAATAGAGGCCAATGAACTATTTAATCAATCTGCTACCTTTAAATTTTTAGATGTTCAATGGTACCAATAATTCATTGATTACTCATGGTATGACATAAATCACTTTTTGCTCAATATCTTTTCATGTTAAAAATTTTATATAAAAGTGAAATTAAAATATCTCTTGGAAGAAAAAGATTAGCAATAGAACAACAAAGATGGTGATGACAAAGCCTTTTTCAAGACCAAGTTAAAATAGCCAAACGTATCTGAGTGCATCACATGAAAGGCTTGAACAAATAAGACTGTAATCTAAAAAACATAGGAGTGAAGGGACTGATTAATTAAATGGTTCATTTTCTACTGGAAGTAATTTTGTCTAAATGCAGATAAATATTTCATTTGTATAGATTATCAAAATAACTAAGGGAAGTAATCATTCATAAATTTATTAATTTGATTTACCTCCCTTCCCATTACACATGGGACAGGAAAATACACATTGATAATTATTATATGGTTTGATTGATAATCCATGTTCACTTACTGATGTCACTGTTGAGATACAGAAGGCAATTATCTCCAAAAGAAAACTAACACAAAGTAAAAGAAATAAAAGCAATTTGCTAACAGCCTGATCTTTTCTTCCCACTTATGAGATATTCCATTGTTACTGTAACAAGCAAAATATCTCCTTATTGGTGTCTATCACCGTGGAAACAGTATAAGGCAGGAATTAGTCACAAGGTGCAAATTCCAGAAAAAGGAACATTAATTAACACCATTTATTCAATAAAGTTGTGAAGATGTTAATTTGGTACTGAATGCATAAAACATTTTTTTTTCAGTTGATAGTTAAACAGCACCTCCCACAAGCAGTAACATGTTCACATTTTTTTCACTAATTACTATTTAGTAGTAGTAGTAGTAGTAGTAATAGTCAATATAACTAGTGATAGATTTCTATATTTAAACAAGTATTAAATTCAACTGACAATGTTGCTCAGTTGATTTTCATTTTTCCAAATTTGAATAAATTATTGCATACCCAGATCAAAATTGTAGATAAACATGAATTTTCATGGCCAGTTTATTTGCAAATTAAAGAAAATATAATAAAAATTAAAAACAAACAGACCTTGTCAGTTGAATTTAATAAAACATCTTTAAATAAATTCTTGCTGCCTAACATAAAACTTCAGACTTTATGGAAATCTAACGAGAATGATATTTGCATCAGAATTTTAACCCAAGTCTAGATAACCATACCTGCCCTCATTAAATATTTATATCCTAAATGCAAAGTTAAAAGAAAAAAAAAAAGCAGGTTTCTAATAATTCCAACAGGAAACAACCTAAAGTCTAGATAGCTGTTCTCAGGTTCAAATCAGAATTAATCATTTAACATAACCAAATTTCTCTATAAAAACTAATTCCTTCTAGAAAGAAAATAAAAGTGTTATAAAAAAATATTTATTCAAAGATGGTCTTGAGTTTTCACATGAAACCAACCATATTAGTGAAGTTAAGAACCTTAATAATTAAAAGACAAGCTATGCTATCAAAATGGAAATCAAAGTCTGCTGTATATTAAAAAGAAATTTTACTTTCTCAGACATGAATATTGGTTGTGAAATTTGACATGATTGAAACAGGAATTATTAAAAGTATCTGCATGCATTTCCCAAAGCTGCCCATCCTAGATTTAGTGGCAAATATTCCAGGCAAAAGTCATTTGTATGAAATCTGTCAAGAAATGAGTCAACTATTTTACTTATTAATGAAAAAAAAAGTTGCCAAACTTAGGCAATAGGATCCAAGTTCCATTCCAAGAACTCCTCTCGAGAACTCAAAAACTTATCTCAGCATCTAGTCTACTTTTCAAAGCAGCTTACAATATCTTCTTTTGGGAATGCCATCAGCTGCCTTGTTCATGTCTCCTTCATCTCACCCATAGTCAGAACACTCTCTTTAAACAATGATTTTAGCTTAAGGTCATAGAGAACCACATTTGGATTATGTGCTTTACCACAAACCTTTCATGAAAGATGAAGAATAGACATTCCACATAATTAAAATAGTGACTACTGCCATAAGTGTGTAGAGTGCAATGTTCCAAATATTGTACTGTAAAATGGTGAATTCCGTTGATTGCAGTTTGATTTTCAGTGTTTTGTGTATTGAAGGCCTTCTGCAATGTAGATTTTGCTTTTAACAGATTCCTGGCCAAATTTGAAATGCTGGTATGAAAATTTTAACTAGGTTTCCCTCCCAGAATCATCACAGGAAGACTTTCTAATCAGCCAAAGTTCCCATCCACTGAATGAGTAACCTTATGAAGCGTGTGTTCATACATGTACAGTAGGCCAAATTAAATCAAGGCTGCACAACTAAATTCAAAATAGCTGGATACTTTTCATAGAGGCCTTGCAAAACAAGTTATTTCAAAATAAATAACTTCAATACTATAAAGGTTATTCTTTTTTCAAGGAGAATTTAGATGCACCTAGAATTTGGGATTGCTATGAGACAACTTACATTCTGGAAGATAAGCAAATCTGACCCTGGGCTCTGTAGTTGGTATCTAAGATTGATCAGTTGATTTGTTTTCTACTTTGCAGGTTATTTAAAGCCATATCTAAAATATTTTTTTAGATTGTAAGAATTTTGTTTTTTGAGATAATAATGGTTTAGTGATGCAAGTCTTATTAATTAACCTATAGCTGGGGAAGAATAGGTGGATTCATACGTTTCCCAAGATTATTTGCTTGTAAGTGAATATAATGCTGCCAATGGAAATTAAAACTCGGCTCTCTGATTACCAATTCAGAGCCATTATCCATTACACCACCTGCACATCCAAGCTTACAGCACCTGGCATTCCCAAGCAGTCACCCATCTAGGTACTGACCAGGCTTGACATTGTTTAACTTCAGTGATCATTCAGTGGTGTTTCAATATGATTTGAATCAAAGAGGACAAGGTCAAACATTAAGGTGTGCAAAAATGGCAGAATTTACTGATACTGACCTGCCAATGTCAAATGTCATTGATTTTCGTCTGGTGAATCCAAAGTATATAACTATTAACTGAACTTATTTGAAAGGGGGGGGGATATTTTTACTCAGTTTCCATGGACCTTGCTGCAGACATTAGGTTGCAGCTCTGATTTTACCTTTTACGTCTTCATACATACTTCCTGTCAAGGATGAAAATGAGTGCAATAACATTTAACTGTTTCTACAGTAAGGAAGAAACAAGAATGGTTTTGACTTGCCGCTTATTCACTCCACTTCTGGCAATCACTGTGGGGTCTGCCAGTAACAAGAAATTTTTTATCAAAATATCTCACAATAAGACCATGCACAGTGTGAAGTGCATCCATCTACTTAGCATTTTCTCCAAGAAATTCCACTTTGTGGGAAAAAAACTTCCATTTTCACCTGCTGATAATTGAAATAAAAAGTTTCTGCAAATATTCAATATGAGATGAAAATATAAGAGATAAAGATCAACTTATGAATGTGGCTCAATAAGTTTGTAACCAGTGAGAGTCATTAGCTAAATAGTTATTGGAAATTTTCACTGGCAATAAAGCCACTAAGATGCAAGGAATTATTGAGTGTGAGAGAATATGAAGAAAAAAAATTGGAGGGAGGACAATAAAAGAACAAAATGAACTGAATGATGGAAGAAAATAATGATTGACATTGCATTTAAATGTTTGAAGATCAAAGTTGACTGGAAAGCAAGAAGCTGGAAGAGATTTTCAAAAGTGAGAAATACAATAAAAGAAACTTATCATAGAACTTACAGTTACATCTAGCCAATTCAACTGTAAAATGGTAACAGTTTGCTACCAATTTAATATTATACATAAATTCATAGAGTCTAGGTACCATAGAGGTAAGTTCACCAGAAGAATTATCATGCATGTATTATAGAAAAAGGTACAGAGAAGCAACATTATGGCAGTAGGAAAGTGATTGAAG